ACAGTGGTTTCAGCACTGTATGGAGAGAATTTGTAGTCAGTGGTTGTATCACTCTCTGGAAACTCATTTCTTATCAATGTAGCTAGCATAAAATTGGATCTAAATAAAAGCTACTTCTTTCCTTTTGATTTGGATTTTCTTAGAGCTCTAGAAATAGATCTCCTTAGACAGGAACCATGATAACTTAGGAAGTAGAGACAAAAGAATTAGGAATTCAAACCCTTGTCTCAAAAAAAAAAAAAAAAAAAAAAGGCCAGAAATGCATACTATTCTTCTAGAAGACCCAAGCTCAGTCCTAAACTCCCAGTCAGGTGGCACAGGGTCCCAAGCTCTAGGAGGTATGTATGATGCTCTCTTCTGGCCTTGGAGGGTACCTGCATCCCAGGCACACACTCCTGTGCAGACACCCACATATATACATAATTTAAAAATAGAATCTTAAAGCAATAAAATATTGTCCAGGCATGGTATGTACACCTTTAATCCCAGCACTTGGGAACCAGAGGCAGAGGGATTTCTGTGAGTTCAAAGCCAGCTTGCTCTAGTGAGTTCTAGGCCTGCCAGGGCTTCATAGTAAAACACTGTATATAAACCAGTCAATCAATAAGATAAACATAGCTGGAAAGATGACTTGGTGGGTAAAAAGACTGCTGACAAGCCTGTGGACTTGAGTTCAAGCTCTGGAACCTGAGTGATCAAGGAGAAAAATAAAATGTTTTCCTCTTACCACCATATAAATGTCTTAGCACTTAAACACACACATGTATACCAAAGTATGCCCTGCATGGTCCTCCCTGGGTGATGACAAGGGGGGTCTTCCCATGTCTAGGAGTGGCCTCAGGGATTATGGATGGTGACATTATCTCCTGCTCTCTTCCAGCAATACATTTATCAGGAAGTCTGGAATCTCTTTCAGCAAATCAGTGTGAAGGCCAGTTCAGTTGTCTATTCGGCCACCAAAGACTACAAAGACCATGGCTACAGGTAATTCTATACCTTGTTGCTCTAGAGCTTGACAACATTTAACTGTGTTTGAGGAAAGTTTGAGGATTGGCCTGTGGGTGTTAGCCTTCTTACAGAAGCTATATGCTATAAATCAGTGTACATGCAAGGCAGCACATAAAAACCACATGTGGCAGCAGTTTGTTGCTGAGCTACACCTAGGGCCCTCTGCTCTGCTCCATTCTCTGCCACACAGGCCATAATGCACATCTAGGTGACCTGCTTCTTAAACATAAGCAACATGCCAGCTCCACCTGAAATGTTGCCCTGTGTGTTGCTTTAAATAACTGCATAGTACCACACTGTGCCAAGATTCTAACCAGTTTAGTTTGGGTATTGGGTGGTTTTCTAGTTTCCATACCAGAAGGTACCACATTGAATAAATGGTGTAATGGCTATGGAAAAGCTATGTGAGTATGCTTTTTTGTTTGTTTTGTTGTTGTTGTTTGTATTGTTTTTGTTTTTGAGGCAGGGTTTCTCTATGGAGCCCTAATCATTCTGTAACTCACTCTGTAGACCAGGCTGGCCTCGAACTCACAAAGATCCACCTATTTCTGCCTCCTGAGTGCTAGGATTAAAGGTGTGTGCCACCACCACCAACCTGTGAGTGTGCTTTTCTTAGGCTAGATTTTTTAAAGTAGGATTTGAGGACTGGAGATTTAATGCAAAACAATTGGCCACCAGCAAGTATAAGGCCCTAGGTTTGCTTCTTCGCATTCCCCCCCTCAAAAAAAAAAAAAAAAAAAAAAAAAAAAAACCCATGTGCAGGGTTAGAGAGGCAGTTGGAATTTGGAGGCCCAGGGAATAGACGTTTATATCTTTGCACACTCTATATTTGTACAAAGCCTGGCCGGTTTTCCTTGGCAGACTGAGAGATGCTTCTTGACTTTACCCATAATGCCATGAGGAAGAGCCATGTCTCTTCATGTTTGAAGGATCTCACAAGAGGTTGTCAGATCAGAAGAGAGAGAAGGCAGGAAGAAAAGTCAGACAAAGACGTGAGACTGGTGCAGAGCCGGGCACCCCTGTGTTGGCATTACTGTTCCTAGTTGTCAGTTTAGTGGGCAGCAGTGCAGCCGCCTTGCCTCAGTAAATGCTCAGCTTGTCCATGCCTGGTTTCTTCACCTGCCAGAGAGCACGTCTCATTGTGTGTGCAGTGAATAGAGATGTACGTGCGGGGTCTGTGAGCCAGACCACCCTGAGTGCACCTATCTCAACTGATCCCAGAAGCTAAGTGGCGTGGGTCTGTTAGGACTTTGGTGGGAGATTATATACGTGCAAGTTCTTGACCAGTGTGAGCTCTTGGCATTGTTACACAGTTGGTCTCCACCGACAGGTAGTAAATGTTAGAACCAAGACATGCATCTATCCTGTCCATGTTCAGATTTTCTCATCAGCATTCTCCAAATAATAAAATATCTCCAGCGCTGGGAGAGGTGATACACACTGTAACACAGCCGCTTAGGAAGTTGAGGCAAGAGGACTGAGAGTTAGAGGCCAGCCTGAGCCACATAGCAAGTTCTGCTACATAGTGAAATCCTATCTTTAAAAAAAAAAAAAAAAAAAAAAAAAAAACACTAACAACAACAGCAACAAAAAAACACTTTTTGTGATATTTGCATTGTAGTAAGCACTAGGGTAATTATGAAATGATTTAAAGTATGCAAGAATGTAATCATAATATATGCAAATACCATCCTAGTTTATTTACCTTTTGTTTATTGGTCTTGCTGTGATAGCTCAAGTTGCCTCAAACTTATGATGCTCCTGCCTCCACCATCTAAGTGCTGAGATTACAAGTGAATGTTATTTGCTATTACACCCAGATACCACACCATTTTAAATGAAAGGATGTTTTATATCCTAGGGAGTTTTGCAGCCAGTTTCCCGTGGGTAGTGAGGAACAGTTGTATCGGTGTTTTCTCACTGCCAATCTGAGGACTAGATTGGGGTCCCATCCAAACTTGCCTCCACCTTCTTCTGTCCATCCTGTTGTCTGCACTTCTTTTCCCATGTTGTTCCCTTAACCTGGGACTCCTTGTCCTTGGGTACCTCCTGCTCTTTGACCTGGCTCCCTGCTGGCCTCTTTCTGGCCTTGTGTTGATCTTGCTGAGCTCTGACCTCACTTTGTGCGATTCCTGCTAATCTCATGCTACAGTTTCTTCAGTTTCTGGTCGAAATTGCCATTTTTCCCCATAAAGCCTCTTATTGCCATTAAAATGATTTGTCAATCTGAGGCTGTGGCTCAGTGTTATAGCACTTGCTTGGCATACACAGGGTCCTGGGTTCCAGCCCCTACACACACATACATACACACACACACACACACACACACACACACTCACACACACACACACACACACACAAAACCTCCCAAGTTTGTCTTCTCACCAGTAGGAACATTTGATAGCTTTTGTTCCCCTAACCTACCAGGCTTTACCTAACTGGGAAAGGAGTGCCTTTTGTTGTGACTAGCATTTGCTAGGGACCAGCCTGTTCGGTGCTTAACTCCTCCTGCTTATGAAGAGGGAATACTTGTTTCACACAGGAAGAAACCAAGACTCAAAGGCCTATGAGCATCAACTAGTAACACACCATGCCAATATCAGAGCTGCTGATTGCAAAGCTGCAGAGGCCTGGCCCCTGACACCTGGCTGAAGGGGCAAGCAACATCAGTTTCACTCCTGGGGTTTATTGTAAGATGTCCATAATCCAGAGGCAGGTGGTCCTGGGACTCTGTAGCATGAGTTCTAGTTGGTCTTAATAAATAAAAACCTAGAGTCAGATATTAGGAGGTGAAAACTGAGAGATCAGAGAAGCAGTGTAGTCAACGCTAGAGAGGCCTTTTACCTCTACCAAATCTTCAGACTAAAGGGGCGATCCTCAGACTGCATACTCATACTGATGCCTCAGACTGAATCCCAGCTCCTGCCTCCTCCCACCTTATATTCATCTCTCTACCCAGCCATATCACTCTTCTCTATTGCCACCTCCCTAGGGCTGGGATTAAAAGCATGTGACTCCTATGTTGGTGGAAGCCGCTTGTTCATTTCCCAGCCACCCAGACTCCTGAAATAATCACACAGAAACTATATTATTTGCAATATGGTTTGGCCAATATCTTAAGCTTATTTCTGGCTTTCTATTAACCCATTTTTATTAATCTGTGTATCGCCATGTGGCTGTAGCTTACCAGGTAAATTTCCATACAGTGTCTATCTCTGGCTGGGCTACATGGCTTTTAGCGACTCCACCTTCTTTCTCCCAGCATTTAGTTCAGTTTTCCCACCTAGCTCTATTTTGCTAAGCCACTGGCCAGAACAGATTTATTTATTAACCAATAAAAACAACACATAGACAAAAGGACTTCCCACACCACTCCTAAGTACTGGGATTAAACATGTGAGCCACCACCACCCAGCTCTATTTTTTTTTTTCTTCAGACTGGATCAATTTCAGGTAGCTCAGGGTGACCTTGAACTCACAAGAGATCTATCAGGGAAAGGTGTGTGCCACCACTGCCTGACCTCTGTGGCTAACTAGTGGCTTAGCTCTGCACTCTGCACTCTGATCTTCAGGCAAGCATTGTTTGCTAGATTACTAACATAATATCACTACAGGACTCCTTCGTGTTTGCTGCCTGCTGCTAGTAATGTCAGTCCCCGAGTTATGGGGAGCACTGGTGAGAAGCTAATCATCAGGAGTAGTGATGTTTGGGTTTGATTTGAAGGAGAATAGTCTAGAACTGAGTAATTCTACATCCAGATATTCAGTAGGCAATGGTCAGAGGAAAGTCAGGGTCCCTGGTATCTAGCTCCTTGAATCAGATTCTGGGTCAAGAGGTCCGTAGTAATTTATTCAGCCATTTACTTTCAGGGTCTGTTTGTCATGACGATGGCATGTTCGTAACCTTTTGGGAGTTCCTTGTGCATGGTGAGGCAGACCAGACCAACTTAGAGCCAGTGTTTCTCCCTCCAGAGGGCTCAGCAGTGGGTTTGCCTTTGTTCCTTTTCTTTAGGCACTGTTCCCTAGCAGTGATCAATGCCCTGGCCAACATTGCAGCCAACATTCAGGAAGAACATCTTGTGGACGAGCTGTTGATGAACCTGCTGGAACTGTTTGTGCAGCTGGGCCTGGAGGGGAAAAGAGCCAGTGAGAGAGCGAGTGAGAAGGGCCCCGCCCTGAAGGTAGGAAAAAAGAGGTTGCTGGGTTTTGAGGCATTGTCTTGGCTGAAATATGGTGCTTTCTGTGTTAAATTATTTACTTTTTAAATTTTTGATTCTGGGGCTCAAAGCCAAGATTTCACATATGCTAAGTGTGTGCTCCACCACTGAGTTACACCCTACCACCTGTTAGGTGGTTTAAGAACATCTGGAGAAAACAAGAAGGAGAGTGGCTTCTCACTCAGGGTGCTGGTGGGGTAGGGAGGGGTGTGGCTTCCTCACCAGACTGCATCTGGCTTGTATCAGCGCATCAGCTCCAGGGGCAGCAGCAGCAGCATGGGCTTCTTCCCGGCAGCTCTCTCCCTGTGTCACCATCTGGAAGCAGGTGAGGGTGTCCTGGTCTGAGCCTATGCTGAGGAACCTTACATGCTGCCATTGAAACATACGAAGTACCATCCTTTATCTGCTGTAAGACTGTTCTAGAAAGGCAGGTCCCCATGGACAGACAGAAGGCTACCTTTTAAATGTTCAAATTGATAATTTGGGGGTATTTAAGACGGGGGGGGGTCTCTCTTACCACATCATCTCCTCACTAACAGCAAACCTTCTCCCATGTTTCCATTTTCATGCTCTTATACTATTCCCTCCCTTTTCCTTTCCCAGTCACTACATTCAACCACTGGGGGCCAGGTATTGTCACCAGTCAGGGTCAGCCCACTTACTGTAAAGAACGAGGCTGTCAATAGTGTAGGCTTTACAGGCTCAAGACAGTTTCTGTTGCAACAGCTCCACTCTGCTATGGTAGCTGACAGCAGCTGTAGGCGTGTGCAAGAGACAGTTAATGATTACGATTAGGCCCGTGGGCTGCAAGGGCCTGGTTGCAGCTGTAGGCTTATGCGAGAGACAGGTAATGGTTAGCATTAGTCCCGTGGACTGCAGGGTCCTGGCTGTTGTTCCAGGTGAGGAGGTCAAGTAAATAAGTTAGCACCCTCTCCTTGAGAGGCTTTGGGGAGCACAGAGCATAGCAGTCCAGCAAGGAGCACTTTAGACTAGGCTGGTCAGGAATGCTTCACAGAGGTGGTATCTGAGTTGACATCTAGCTGATGCCAAAAACAAAACAAAAGAACCTGCTTAAGATCTTGTCCATAGTTACTGGACAAGGCTGGACATGACTCAATGGTTAAGAACATTGGCTGCTCTTCCAGTGTACCCGGGTTCAATTCTCAACACCCACATGGCAGCTCACACCTATCTGTAACTTTGGTACCAGGGGATCCAATGCCCTCACACAGACATACATGCAGGTAAAACACCTAATGCACATCAAATAAAAATAAATAAATAAAAGAACTTGTCTATAATTCAGCCTTGTTCTTCTGACCAGTCTATCAAGATTCCCAGGCTGGTGACTTTCCGAGCTCTCAGGAGAGACTTAAGTGTCAGCAGATGGGAGAGAAGGGCTGGTGATGCAGGGAGGCACTAAACACTTGAGGAAGTGTGTTTTCTTTCCTTCCTACAAGAAATGGGCCAGTGCCCACTGACCTACTGCGACCTGTGTTCACTCCTGTTTGCTTCCTCTTGCCACACTTTCCTATGGAGTCTCAAGACTCCTGGGATTTAATGCTTATTCACAGGCTAGAAGAGCAACACCAGAATTCTATTTCTCCTAAGTACAGAGGTAGGAATCCTATTCTTTGTAGAGTAGTTACTGTTTGCCAAGTATTTATTGAAATAGAACCTTCTTGGGTAAGGGGAGCCTGTAAAAGTGAGAGGAAGACACTGGCTCGTGACTACCCATAACTGCCAGATGTGATGGTGCATGCCTTTAATCCCAGCCCTCAGGAGGTAGAGTACCAGCCACTAGCCTAGTCTGCATAGCAAGTTCTAGGCCAGCCTGTATTCAAAAATTTAAAAAAAAAAAAAAAAGTTAAACTAAGACCCATGGAGGGGGTTCCACTCCATTGTGTAGCTCTGAGACTTTGGGTCTTCCAGTTCAGAGCAAAGAGGACCAGTGCTTATCTGCTACAGCCCAGGAAAACCAGATTGGGATTCTGTCTGCATCTTCTCAAGTGACCATATGACTTTGCCAAGATTTGCTCTGATTCTTGGTGAATCTCACCAGAAGTTAATGCAAGAAAAGCATTTGGAACACTCCCAGGTCACAGTGGGGTCCTCAGTGCTATCTGCTATCACTATTATAGATACAGTGCATAGTTCGTTCTTCTAAAGTTTGGCACCATTGTCTGCCGAGTCCAGCATGGCTTGGTCCTAAAAACCTGACTGGAGCAGTGAGGAAATAAAGAAGGGACACATACACGCATAGAAGTTGAGGTCAGGGAGGCTGTGCTTGCTCTAATGGAGCACTCCTACTCAGCACCTCAGAACCTCTGTGTATTTATTGTGTCTAGCACAGGAGAGGGTCTTTATAGATGACCATCTCAGTCACTCAGGAGTAAGAGGCTGCTGCTGCACGGCAGTTGTCACACCGGCCAATTGTCACAGTGTCCTCATTTGCACTGAGACGAGAGGATTTGCCACTCCCATGGGATCTGAGACGTTAGGTCCTTGACAGCTGTGCCCAAGTCAACAATACACATTTGCTCAGGGCTTCCTTAGCTCCCCACAAGTGTTTGTTGCAGTTTAGCCAGATTTTTGGGCCTATTAAAGAACTTAACCATTTAATTATTAAATCTTCTGGGATTTCCTAACTTATAGAAAAGTTACAGAACTTAGTAAGCAAAAAGCCATAATCCCTCTACTTAGGTGCTTTGGCATATTTTCTCTGCTTGTGTATATTACCTAACTATAATTGAATCAGAGGGTACTCAAACCCTCATTTGTTTTCATTTAAAATTTCTGTCAGCACTCTTCCAAGGTGAGTAATTTTTTTTTCTTCAAAAAGTTGTTTTCTTGGGCCTGGAGAGATGGCTCAGTGGTTAAGAGCATTGCCTGCTCTTCCAAAGATCCTGAGTTCAATTCCTGGCAACCACATGGTGGCTCACAACCATCTGTGGTGAGGCCTTGTGCCCTCTTCTGTATGTCAGACATACACACAGACAGAATATTGTATACATAATAAATAAATATTTTTAAAAAAAGTTGTTTTCTTAGTGACTATGTCATACTAATGTAGATTGCACTATTTATTCAACCATAAGTTAATGGTTTATATTTGACATTTAAGTTGTCTCTATCCACCTCTCACTGCAGCTATTCTAGGGCTAAGGGTGTGGCCCAGTGGCAGAGTACTTGTGCAGCGTGTGCAAGGCTCCAGGGTTGGTCCTCAGCACCATGTGCACAAACGTGAATTATGCAGCGTGGGGACTAGAGTTTATAGTTTAAGTGCTTAGCATGGGAAAGGCGCCAGAACCAAAGAGTGTGACAGATGGTTGTCTTTATACACCTATGAATATGCCTCATTGTTTTTCTTAGGTTAGGGAATCCTAGTCTGTACAATACTGTTGGTTGGGTTTTTTTTGTTTGTTTGTTTGTTTGTAAAAGAAATGTTTTTGCTATTTTCCTAGGCTTCCAGCAGTGCAGGGAATTTGGGGGTGCTCATTCCTGTAATTGCTGTGGTGAGTATTCACTTGTCAGATGATTTAAGTTCCAACTACTCATGTTTGAGTCAATTCCTTATAAAAAATGCTTTCTAAAATCTCAATAATTCTGCTGGGCAGAAAGGCTCACACTAATCCTAGCACTTGGGATACAGAGGCAAGTTGATCTCTGTGAGTTCAAGGCCAGCCTGGTCTACAGAGTGAGTTCCAGGACAGCCAGAGCTATATAGCGAGACCCTGTCTTAAAAAACAAACAACAATGAAAATAAGTAACTAAATAAATAAATAAATGGAATGCCAGTAACTCAATAGATGGTTGTTTCAGTCACCAACAACTTTGAATGATAACCTATAGGGATAACTCTGTGGTCTACAGAGTTCCAGGACAGCCAGAGCTATATACCGAGACACTGTCTCAAAAAACAAACAAACAAACAAAAATAAATAAATAAATGAATGAATGAATGAATAAATAAATAAATGGGATCCCAGTAACTCTATAGATGGTTGTTTCAGTCACCAACAACTTTGAGTGACAACCTATAGGGATAACTCTGTCTGTGCCCAGACTTCCTCACTCCAGTTCCTTTTGCATGGCACTGAGGTCTAGCCCTGCTTATTCTGCATCATGCCCTGTCCTTCACTGCTGCTTTGTCTCCTTCCTTGGCTTTCTCCTGTGAGAAGGGGGCTGCTTCCTGATTAGATACAGCTGTGCTAGAGAGCCCATCGTTATCCAGTCCTGTTTTATGCTGTGTCCACTGCTCTGCAAAAAATAAAAAGTTTATATAAAAATAATAATAAAGATAAGGTCTTATTGTGTAACTTTGGTTGGGCTGGAACTTACTCTGTAGACCAGGCTGATTTCAAACTCACAGAGATCCGCCTGCCTCTGCCTCCTTGGTGCTGGGATTAAAGGTGTGCACCATTACACTTAGTTTCTGCAAATAACCTCTGTGAAGGTTTTCCGCACTCTTAGTCATTCCCCTGAGCAGTCCTGGGGCCTTGTGTTCTCATATTTTTATCCCTGTCTGTTCTCGCCTCATGTTGTGCCATAGTTCAGGTCTTAAAAGTGTGAGCGCTGAGGGTGCTAAGGACAAGATAGTTGGACAGGCAAGTGGAGGGGTATGTGTCCGGGCGATGGGGGTGGGGATCTTGCTATGTAGCCTGGGGTAGTCTAGAACTCTCTGTCCAGGCTAGCCTTGAACTTGGCAGCTGGTCTGCCTCGGCCTTTCAGGTACTAAGATTGCAGGCATACACCATATCAGATTTATCTCTCCTCATTGTAGTGAAGTGGTTTGTGTGCTCATCTTGGGTGTTCTTTAAACCTTGGGACTTCTAGGCAGGTTATTATTATTGTTCTTTAATAGTAAAAATTCATACATTTTGTGTAATATACATTATGTATATTATGTATACATATACATAGGCCATCTTTTTACCTACACACTCGTTTTCTGACCGTGCCTCCTGTGAGTTTATGTTGATAGTGAATGAAGACTATGTCTGTACTAGGACATTTCATCCCATGAGGATGCTTAAGGAAGCAGTGCATGTTCCTCCTGAACACCTTAACACCTTGGGACTTGCCATCAGTGGTTCTCACTGCTCTTACAGATTTACACAGGGGCTGAAGAGATGCCTAGTGGTTAAGAGCACTTGTTACTCTTCCAGAGGAGCTGGGTTTAATTTTAAAAACCCACATAGTGTGGCTCACAACCATCTGAACTTAAGTTCTAGGGGATCTGACACCCTCTCTTAACCTCCATGGTACTAGGCACACACATGGTGCAAAGATATATATGTAGGCAAAACATCCATACACATTTTAAACAAAAATAAAAACAAAACGGATTTTTAGGATTGCAAGAGCCGTTCTATAATGGTATTTTCCCCTACTGACTATTTTTAAAACAAATTCTCCCACTTTGTCATTAATGTTATCCAACATACAATCATGTTTTGAAGTGTCTTTGTGGACTGAAGGTTTACTCAATAATAGGGCTTAGTTGGTACGTGCAAGGCTCTGGGTTAGACTGCCTGCAGCAGAAGTCAAGCTGTGGCTCTATGCATGCTCTCACACGTACGCCTTCTGTTTGGCCAGAGAAAAAGGTGAGGAGCATGAAGCCCCGGTGGGTACTTTCTCAGCCTGTTGAAAAGAAGTCAGCAAAGCCCATGGAAAAGCATAGGTATACAGGAGTGCTGGGAGTAAAGGCATGAGCTACCACCACCTGGCTGAATATTATCACTTCTAATTGGGGTTAAGAAAAAGATTTCAGGGCTAGAGAGATGGCTCAGCGGTTAAGAGCACTGGTTGCTCTTCCAGAGGTCCTGAGTTGTGGTCCCAGCACCCACAACCATCTGTAATGAGATCTGGTGCCCTCTTCTGGCACGCAGGCAGAACACTGTATACATAATAAATAAATAAATCTTTGAAAAAAGAAAAAGAAAGAAAAAACAAAGATTCAATGTAGATTTCAGAATGGTGTTAAAAGAGGAGACACAGAGATATAGCCAGGCATCCAGGCACACACTTAATGGCAAAAGAACATGCCCAAAGCTGGGTGTGGGCTTCCTAGAGACTTGTATTTTTAACAAAAGTTAATGGTTATATTACGGGGGAGGAAACAAATATTTGATCTACTTGCTCAACAGAGAGCCAAAGGATCATGAGTTTTTACATTTGCTTTTTAGTGACCTCTTGTACCTTCTGAAAGAAATTGATTTCCAAAGGTGGTGTGGGACTTTTTGTTTTGTTTATGTGTTTCTTTAATATTTAATGTTTTGTACTGTTTTGTTGTTACTTGTTTTTCAAAGAGAAATACATACATTTTAGACTTAATGATTCAAAAGGACTGGTTAATTTGAAGCAAAAGGCTTGGCTCTTGCTCTTTAATGCATCTGTCAGCACCCAGGAACCTCCTGAAACTGGAGCGCTCCAGTTGCTGTGAAGCTGGGTCATGTGGTTGTGGGATCCCTTCCTGCTTAGTTAGGTGATCTTTATCTTCTAACTTTGCAAACTTATTTTTTTCATTGCTTTTGCTGCTATATCGTCCACACTTAAGCATTTTGAAGACTGTCACTTAGACACCTCATATACTCACAATATAGTGGCTGATTGAGATGTACCATCTTCCCAGGAAATATTCCTGTGTCTCACTGAGAGCGGGTTCATCTTCACTCCAGGTAGTTTTTGTGGACTTAGACAGGTTATACCTTTTCGAGGTCATATGCACTTTTGCAAGTTTTATACTTCTTTTCTACAGAAATACATCTGTGTTCATGTGTGTCTCATGAAAAGACTGTCCAGAGCCTCTAAGTTCGGAGCCCCTTGGTAAGGTTCTTAGACTAGACAAGAAATGCTTATCCCTGGTCTAGACCTTGTCCAGGTATTACCACCTCACAACGACCCTGTGAGACCACTGCTGCTTTTTATTTCCATTTTACAAGTAAGCATAGTGAGGTATAAAACCTGCTCAACATCTCATAGCTGCTAGGCATAGGGTTTGCGTCCAGGAAGCTTGCCCCAGAGCCTGTGCTGTAGTTAGTCTTCTCCTGCTTTGAGAAATGGCAGGCTAGTGTATTTAAGAGGGACTGCAGGGATTCTAAGTAAATGGAAGTAATTAGGGACCCTGGAGATGAGAGGGTCCCGCCTGTGCAGGAACCTGGAGCAACCTAGGCCACACATGGCTGAGGTAGGGATGGGAAGTGAGACCGTGGAGTTTTCTGGGAAAATGACACATGACAAAGGCTAAAGATATGAAGTAGGGGGTGGTGTTTGTTTTGAGACAGGATTTCACCTTATAGTCCTGGCTCTAACTTGTAGGTTTAACCAATCCTCCTAACCTCAACCTCTGAAATAACTAGGATTACAGGGATGTATCCACCCATCTTTTTAGGGCACAATTTTGAAATAACTGCAATTAGAAATGTAAGGAGTGATAAAAAATACCAGCAAGATAAAATACATAAAACAAACACCAAAAAAGAATAGTGTTAAAACAAATTGGAGGGGAAAAGTGATGGGCCATCATTATTCAGGCTTCACCAAGAACTGAAAAGATGCAGTGGGGAGATTTTGCCTCAGTCCTGTCCTGTCTTATTCTCAATAGAATGCTGGTCCAGGTGTAAGATAGTTAGCAAGGAGTCCAGGCCCTGGAGCCTTCCTACCCGGGGTTGGATCTAGGTCTCATCAAGTTACTCTTCTTCTGTAAGTTGCCATTGCTTCCTCAACTGCCAAGAGGAGGTGGTGAGAATGTGACCTCCAAAACCAGCAGCATCGAGCATATAGTATGTACATTACACACTATTTCATACATTACACTAGAAGTAGCATGATCCTCTCAGCTGTTCCTATTGCTATTATTGTTTCATGTGGTCAGAGTACTCTGTAACCAGACCCTCAAGTCCAGCAAGCCTAGCCTTGGACCCCAGCCCCACCTTGTAGCTGTATTTTGTGCATGTTTTAGAACCCTTCCAACTCTTGCATTGTTGGGAAATAAAACTTCTTCCTCTAGGGTGTGGGATTTACAGTTAGTTAGCACAAAGCTTGTGGCTGCTGCTCCTGTTACAGCTGCCAGTCTCCCCACCAAAAGCACATCTTGACCCATGCCTTCTGAGCAGCCTTCGGAGCGCTGTGAATGGTACCAAGTCGTATTCCTTGGATGTTGCCAGCTTTATCAGACCAGACCTGCTGCAGGGCTACATCTGAGAGATGAAAGTTAAAGCATGCACCTCATATAGACACTAGAGCACCTTGTCTCAGGCCTCCCATCAGACTGGTACCAAGGACTCAGCCACACACCTCTTTATCCAAAACTAGTCACTGCATAACACTTGAGTGACTTTCTATCCACCTTTGTCTTTCTTAAGGGTGTTTTCCAACTTGCCCTTTGTTATTTGATGTGCAAAATAATAGACTTATACTGGGTGTTATGGCAGATGGCGTTAGGGATCCCA